GTTGAGCTGCGGCGCCAGCCCTGAGGCATTTCATCTAAGAATGGTTTCAGAAGATAAAATATGGACGGCTTTCTCAGTATATCTGAAGATAAGCACATCAAGCAATGCTACCAGATAGAGCGATCATCATAGTGCAGCGACTGTCTAGAGTAGAAGTCATGCCAATAGTTTTGTTCGAATACTCGAGACATCTTGCTTGTTGACTTTCTGACCAAAGAAGAACATATCCTTGTTAGGACAGTGTTTTTGAGAGAGTTAGCCAAAGCTTCAGCAGTAAAATGCTTGAGAAAGTCTCAACAGAGAAGTCTTCTATGTCATAATTCTCCTGCTCATTCTTCTCATCAGGCAAGGGCAATTCTGTGAGAATTTTGATGGAGACTCATTGGGCATCCTCCTTAGAGTCCTGATTTGGCTGCTTCTGACTTTTGTGTTTTTTTTTTGTTGTTGTTTTTTTGGTTTTTTTTTTTGGTTTCCTAATCTTAAAAAAATCTTTTAGATATCACATTTTTATTCAGTTCATATTGCAAAAAATAAGGCTGTATTGACATAAATTCCCTGGATGCGCAGTTCTTTTGAGATGGACTAAGAGAGAACCCTAAAATAATAGATGAACTGCCAGAGGTAATGATGTGCTGGTACCCAATGATAACAAATGTAGCATTGTGCTCAAGATGCAGATGGGAGGGTGGAGTGAATGTGTGCAGGCAAGAGGTGCATGGGATCTCTGTACTACAGAGCTTTTACTTTTCAAGAATATTAGTCAAAGGTCAGGGTGCTGTATTTCCAAGTATTTGCCTAGTACATTTTTTTTAAGTTTTAAGATAAGCTTTCATTTGCAATGATAATATTATAAATATCACTTAAAACTTGCAGTCTCATTTTTGGGGGGCGTGCACATTTGATAAACCTACTCAAATAATCTTCATTTAAAATTTTATGCTTAGTTCTACTTTTCTTAAACCATGGCTCGATGGAAACCAAAACTTTTTATTTAAATCAACTGTTTTTCCTCAATATTGCCATTCTTTTTTGCCTCTTTTGATTCTGCAGTAGATCAAATTACTGAGCACTCACTACTGAACAGACAGTGCACTAAGCGCTTCATGTACATTATTGCCTCAATCCCGAAAACAGTCTGATGAAGCCAGGAATATAATTATGATATGGTGTATACTGTTCCTATGATGCTTCTGCTTCGAATTCTTATCTCTGTTAGGCAAGACCTAGAGTAAGAGTAATATGCTCATGCCCACATCAGTTATCTCCATACACTATCTCCACTTGACTATGGGAGTAAAGTGACTGGCTCACTGAACAATGTCTATTGAGTCAGAACCCAGCCCATTATTCTTTATTGTATGTTAATCTCTTTAATAATAATTTTCTTTTCCATGAAATCAAGGCTTCCATTTAGCCTACCTAGTTCATATGTTAGTTGTGAAGAATAAGTTAAGGTCATCTAAAAAATCTCATGCCTTATAACAAGCTGTTGTCCCCATAGTGTTTGGGAATTGGCATCTTTCTGAGGCTGCATGATTCTGCATTTTTCTGTCTGTGATAAAATTTGGGGTAGAATGTTAAATATATTTAGGAAGTCCCAACATTATATTCTGAAATTCCCAAAAGTACTACATTCATTTGTTCTTTAACATGATAAAGTACGGAAACATTTATAAGAGAGGACTCTATAAGTTTCGGATTGAATGTATACACAAAGCAACACATCCAGTGCAGTTTTCCTGTCCATCTAGAATTGTGACTGAAAACAAAAGGCATTAAAGCTCCCTCCTTCTTGAGGCAGAGAAGCAGCCAGCAGTCAGAAACAACACTAGACGCAAAGCCAGTTCACTGTGCCATGGGCACTACTTCAGCCCACAACATCCTGGGCTGCATTTTTATTACTGCCTGAATCCCATACATATTTGCATATGTCCCACTTGCACTGAAGTGAGGGAACCCAGAAAATAGCCCTTACTGGGTTTTACAGCCTAGGGCAAAGTGACTCACTAAGCTAAACAGTTATTTCTAAAAGCAACTGGAACAGTGCCTGGGCTGTCAGCCATTTCTTCCTTATCTCAGGAAAAGGAAAGTGGGCCCTCATCACCTCTTTAGGACGCTGAACATCCCTAAATTAGGAGGCCTGGTAACCTGCCTCTGGCTACTGTGGGAGGAAAACAAACAAGTTGGGTCAGATGCCAGGATCTGCATGTTGAGAACACTGTCAGGTGGAGATCTGACTAGAACCCTTTGCTTAACTTTGCAATTCAAAGAAGTACAGAAGATGAATCTTGCATGTGCCCACAGATCTGATGGCCGATTACAGGGATACAAGATCGAGGGCTTTAATCTTGTCAGAGTGGCAAGCATTGGTATGAAGAAGTGAGTGTGTAAGTGACCTGTGGCTGGACAGAGGGGTGTCTGAGAAATGTAAGTGCAGAGGAACTTCCTTAGCAGAGCATCCTGGAGCCAGCCATGACCAGTGAGGAAGAAGATGGCTTACTTTCCCACTCAAGGACTTTCTCCCCTCTTCTCTGCCCATCATCGCAATGATGTGGGTATGAGTACCTTAATTTTCACCTCAGGATCTTGCCTTACAAAGAGACAAGAATTCTATGCAGAGACATCATAACACACACAGGTAGGAACAGGATTTAACAGTGGGAGACAAAACATACATTCATGCCTGAGTGTGGGCCAGTCCACACAGAGAAATAAATGCTGATCATGAGGTGGGACAGAGGGTTTCCCAAAGAGAGAGAGAGAGAGAGAGGAAAGACTGAATAGCACTACCATTGTGGTCAGGAGCAAAAAGAGGGCTCTCTTACATTCCCAGCCTCTTTTATGAGGTGGGGGTAGTGCCATAGCATGCATGAAGACATCTGGGCACTTCCACTGGAGTTCATGCTGATCATGGTGGGATGAGACACAAGGGCAACCTGGGATGGTGGATGTTTTTGAATGACAGGTAAAGAGGTAATGCAATATTGCAGAGTTACAAGCATTCCGGCTCACTTAGGCTTAACTAGCTGCCTGCCTGTTCACACCAGGCAATACCTAGTTGGGAACCAGGAGACATCTGAAGCCCTCTGGCAGCACTGAGCTGCAGCAGGGCAGTACAGACCTGGCCAAGAGGACCACTTGGCCAAGTTCATCAGAAATTATGGTGTGGAAGTGATGGCAAACCTGGGTAGGCCATTTACATTAAATGAGGTCAAGTGCCCTATTGTCTTCCCCACATAGACCTCATAGTTGCTGGCCAACTGTTTGCTCACTGAGTGTATAAAACCATACAGTGACTAACCCCCACCAGGCTGTGGAGCCTCTAGGTACTCAGCAATGGACAGACAGCAAGAATTCCATTTAGAACTGAATGATGGTGGTAGAGGCGTGAATCAGGGACATTACTGAAGATACACATTCCCACTCTGGGAAAGATTACTCAGAGAGGCTGGTGTTGTGGTATAATGGGTTAAGTTGCTGTCTGCTGCTTCAGTATCCAATATGGGCACCAGTTGAGTTCTGGCTGCCCCACTTCCTTCCTGGCTCCCTACTAATGCACCCAGGAAAGGTGGGGGGGGGGAAGATTGCCCAAGTGTTGGGCCCCTGCACCCATTTGGGAGGCCTGGAGGAAGCTCCTGGCTCCTGGCTTTGTCTTGGCTCAGCCCTGGCCGCTGTGGCCATTTGGGCGGTGAACCAGCAGATGGAAGACCTCTCCTCTGTCTCTCCTTCTCTCTCTGTAATCTGACTTTCAAATAAATAAATAAATCTTTAAATTAGTCTCTGCTGGGGTCGGCGCTGTGGCATAGGGTTAGGCCACTGCCTGCAGCGCTTGCATCCCATATGGGTGCCGGTTCGAGTCCCGGCTGCTCCACTTCTGATGCAGCTCTCTACTATGGCCTGGGAAAGCAGGAGAGGTGGGCCCCTGCACCCGCGTGGGAGACCTGGAAGAAGCTCCTGGCTCCTGGCTTCCAGTTGGCGCAGCTCCGGCCATTGTGGCCAATCGGGGAGTGAACCAGCAGATGGAAGACCTCTCTTTCTCTCTCTGCGTCTCCTATCTCTGTGTAACTCAAATAAATAAATTTTTTTTTAAAAAATTTAGTCTCTGCTGGGAAGAGCTGACCAAAGAACAGAGGCAGGACCCCTCCAAGGGGGTACACTCTAGCCTTTGGGGACACTTTCCTTTCAGGCACCCAGCATCAACACTTGCTGAGGCAGCTTTCCACCCCCAAGTACTTTCTGGTCTTTGTCATTTCCAACGCATTTTAGGCCTTGCAAGTCGTTTCTCTCAGAGCCTTGAGAGGGGCCAGCAGGCGTTGTGGTGCATTGGAAATCCCCAGCCCATAGCGGAGGAAGTGCCCCAGAAGTCTGCCTTTTCCCTTCCAATCAGCTTCCTGCTAATGTACCCGGGAGGCACCAGAGATGGTCGAAGTACCTGGGCTTCTGCTACTCACAGTGGGAAACCCAGGTGGAGTTCCTGGCTCCTGGCCTAGGTCTGGACCAGCCCCGGCTATTGAGGGCATTTGGGTCCATGGTCCATCCGCTAGTTCACTACCCAAATGCCCACAATAGCCCGGGCTGGTTTATATGTGTATACATGTATATATGTGTGTACATATGTATATATATACATGTATATGTATATATATGTATTATATATGTTTTGTCACTCTGCCCTTCAAGTAAGTAAGTAAACAAACAAAAGTAGACTGTAAGATGCAGGGGTTCCTAAAACTGTGCATTCCATCCGCCACCAGTGCCTTGCAGGGGTCCTAGCCAGCGATGTCTGCTTCTCGCCCTCCACACGACTAGGGGGCGCCCACGGCTCCCGGCTGCTAGGTTGCAGGCGCGCACGCGCTCCCTCGCCACGCCTGGCTAGGCCACATCCTCGGACCCAGAGGCCGCGTCAGAGTTCCACGCCAGCCAATCAGATCTGTCCATGTACTACTGGGGGCGGGGCTGCCAAGGGAGGAGGAAGATGGCGGCGGGGGCGAGGTGAGGTGTTGGCAGTAGAAAGGGGTTCGGGCACGGGGGGTGGGGGGACCCGGAGCGATGGCCCGCGCCGGTCGCCGGGGCGGATAAAAAGCCGTCGCGCCGCGGGTGTGGGAGGGAGGGAGGGGAAGGGGCCCGAGCGCCACAAGAGTATGACGGGGCTGTACGAACTGGTGTGGCGGGTGCTGCACGCGCTGCTCTGCCTGCACCGCACGCTCACCTCCTGGCTCCGCGTTCGGTTCGGCACCTGGAACTGGATCTGGCGGCGCTGCTGTCGCGCCGCCTCCGCCGCGGTCCTAGCGCCGCTCGGCTTCACGCTCCGCAAGCCTCCGGCCGTCGGCAGGAACCGCCGGCACTACCGGCACCCGCGCGGGGGGCCGGGTCTGGCCTCCGCCCACCCCCGGCTGCGCTGGCGCGCGGACGGCCGTTCCCTGGACAAGCTGCCTGTGCACATGGGCTTAGTGATCACCGAGGAGGAGCAGGAGCCCAGCTTCTCGGACATCGCGAGCCTCGTAGTGTGGTGTATGGCCGTGGGCATCTCCTACATTAGCGTCTACGACCACCAAGGTGAGGCCCGGTGTGTGTGTGTGTGTGTGTGTGTGTCGGGAGGGGGGGCACTGATGGCAGATGTGCCCAGGACACTCGGTGCATGGCTGTCCTCCCGGCCCTGGCAGTGCCCAGTGCCCGCGGCCCTCAGGTGCAAACCACAGTGCTAGCGCTTTCGAGGAAGGGACTAGAGCGTTATTGAACACCCACCAAGTCCCCGGACTTGATTCGGGTTCTTCTTAAGCATTTAAAAATATTTTTATTCTTTATAATACTCGTGTAGGGTAGTTGATGTTTGTTCACCTTTGCTTTATGAGAGGAGGAGCCGAGGTTCAAGAACATGAAGGTGTCCAAGGTCACGAGGTAACGGGGATATGGGCACTGTAGCCAGTGTGTGCTTTTAAAGTCTTTACTCTGAGCTTACACCATAGTGTTTTTTAGGAGAGGTGCAGGGCGCTCTTATTAAGTCCCAGGCAAGCAGTGGAACACGTTGGCAGGGACTGTGTGTAGTAGGTACTGCAAATGGAAGCAGCGGGGACCAGGTGTTATTTGTGCTGGTTTTATGGAAAGCATGTGCGATTGGATAGGCAGAAAGATCGTCCCCTCCAGTTTTTGGAAGCCTGGGGTGGTGTGAGGTCCTTGATCCTCAGTGGCCAATACAGTACTTGATACAGTTGTCTTCCATAAGTTTGGATGGGTGTATGAATTTTCACCTTGGGGAGTTTTTCAAGTACAAAAATGCAACACTTACTGGGTGGCTAAAGCCTCACTGTGCTTAGCGTATTCTTAGAATCTTGTATTTAATTCCATGGGTGCTCAGGCTTGTGAGGAGGTAGGCACATGCATAGGTGGTTAATAGTCACTGTTGGGAGTAAGGGAAGGGAGAAATTCTGAATGGGGTGAGTACCTGCAGAGGCGCTGGGATGTAAGCAGCACATTGAGGAGTATGTAGGAGATGAGGAAGGCTCTAAATGTCAGGTTTGGGTTTCAGTCATCCTGAAAGCATTGGAATTTCCTTAAAGGTAAAGATGCAGTGATAAGAATGATTCAAGGGTGTTGGAATGAAGGAAAGAAAATGAATGCTTTATTCTCTGTTCAATAACTTAAATTACTGGTATGCTGAGGAGAAGCTACAGCTTGATTTTTACCTTTAAATCTTTGTTGAGTAGATTTAAGTGCAGGGTTTTGTCAGAAAAGCTGAGTAGTAATCTCTGACTGCCCTGTCATCTTCCTTGCAACCAGCAAGGAGGACGTGGTGACTCAATTGCCTGTCATCGTTAAATGATGATTTGCCCCATTGCCAAAAGTCAGGGACTGACATTTTATGGAACTTGCTAAAGAACTTACAGACCAACAGAAATCGTGCCTCTGTTAGAAGATGACACAATCCTTGCCTATACTAATGCAACCAGTATTGTTTGGGGAATAAAATAAGTAAAACAGAAATGGAAGTTAAAGATTTTAGGCAATGTGGTAGATTGATTTATATCCAGGCAATTCTTTCAAAGCAAGTATCTGTCTTCCAGTAGGGAAGGAGAATGTATGTTAAATTACTTGACCTGGTGACACTGCCTGCTAGCACAGATTACCATATTGCCACACTTCCTTGTTCCAGCAGATCCTGTCACTGAATTACTGACGTGATTCAGACATATCCTGTGTCACGTTCCCTTAAAAAAAAAAAAAGGCTGGTATTGAAAAATAGAAGTCAAGCTAAACCAAATTTTGACTGAGAACTGAAAGGAGGCTTAAGGAGTATTTTCAGTGAATGGACTTGGAAAATTTTCTATAAAAAGTTTTTTTTTTTAATGGAATAATTTCAGTGTTTGAAATAAGAGACCTTCAATTTACCTGGTCTTGTTTTTGATTCATTCACTTATTCACTCATTTAACAAGCGACATTTCAGTGTCTGTTAAATATCAGGTGCTCTTCCAAGCACGGGAATGCAGAATTAACAAAACAGACAAAAGTCCCTGTGCTCGTGGAACTTAGGTTTTACTGAGAGTCCGACAAATTATATACATAGGTAGAATACGTGCTGTTGTAAGTGCAGTGAGGAAAAATAAAGCAGAGAAGGGGTGTGGTTTTAAATAGGGTGGCAGCATATTTCCTGTTAGTGCGAACAGTAGTAGCATTGAGAACAGAGAATATAATAGGTAAGTTGATTTAATAAAAAGTTGGAAAATGAAGTATGATGAAGGCTTGGAGAACTGTTCTGGTTTTCTGGTGGCTTGTAGAAATCTACTCCAGGGTATAGTGTTTTAAAACATTAATTTATGTGTTAACTCAGTTCATTTGGGCAGTTTTTCCTTGGGGATACCTCAAAAGGTTGCTGGTGTGTAACAATCTCATCACATGTCTAGTGGCTGGCTTGTGGTGGCTGGAATAGATGAGGGCAGGTTGGTCATCTGTCTACTCATGGTCTCTCCACGTGGTTAACTTGAGCCTTTTTTAATAGTGGCCTCAGGGTAATCAGACTTCTTACAAGGGCACAAAGTATTCACAAAGACTTAGCCAATGGCCAGAGTTCAGGCTTCCTACCATCTAGCTTAGGGAATGATGCAGTATTACTTCTGCTGTAGTCTCTTGGTCACAGAAGTCACACATCTGCCTGAATCAAGGAAATGGAGACACAGACCAGCTCTCAGTGGGAAGTGGCAAGTATGGGGTAGGGGGAGTGATTGATAGCTATTTTGGGGACAAGCTTATCAGCTTAAAATGTTCTTGTTCTATACCCCTTCACTCCCAAGTCTGTATTTAATAAGTATTCTAACTATGAGTGGATACACATTATATTTAATTCTTAGAACTAAAAAAATCCGTTGGTATTTACCTTGATTTGATTCTGCCAGCAAATTGATCCTTTTATTTTTCATTTTACTTTTATTTCTTGATTATAATAATATTTGCCAGGGTTTTCTACAAGTATACATAAATTTCAGAATTTTGCACTAAACTCTGATCTTTTAATTTCATTTTCAACAGAATTTCTGAAGCTGCCTCATGTAGATCTTGATTTTTTTAATTCAGTATTTCCAGATTTATCAAACCAGAGAAAATTTAATGCACTCTGTTTAGTATTTGGTACAGAGTAAGAGCTCAACAAAGGATAACTATTATTACTATTACGATAAAGGTTTACTTACATACATAGACCCAGTACTGTTGTTCCTTAGAAAGGTACTTAGAAAATGAAGTCATTTCAAAAATTAACAAAATAGGATATAGAGTAAGATTGGAGATGAAATAGTTGAGAGAGCTTACCTTGGAGGTAGTACTTTGGATGGACTTACCTAGAATTGAAGATACGCTGCTTTTTTTTTTTTTTTTAAGATTTATTTATTTATTTGAAAGGCAGAGCTAGAGAGAGAGAGAGAGAGAGAGAGAGAGAAAGAGGTAGGTCTTCTATCTGCTGGTTCACTCTCCAGTTGGCCATAACAGCCAGAGCTGTGCTGATCTGAAGCCAGGAGCCAGGAGATTCTTGGGTCTCCCACGCAGGTGCAGGGGCCCAAGGACTCAGGCCATTTTCCACTGCTTTCCCAGGCGATAGCAGAGAGCTGGATTGGAAGTGGGGCAGCCAGGACTCAAACTGGCATCCATTCAGGATGCTGGCACTGCAGGCAGCGGCTTTACTCGCTATGCCACGTTGCCGGCCCTGATGATATGCTTCTGATAGTTAGCCCTTGCCAAATAAAGACAAAGACATTCCCAGACACTAATATAAATGTGATATTCTGTACAGGAAGTGAACTACACGAAGGTGAAGATTAGGAACAGAATATTTCCTTCCTTAAGTTATCACATTAGGGAATACAAGTGTTCCAGGTTGTATTTGTTCAGTCTGTCAAATGTAATCCAATTTGTATTTAAACTTTCAACACTTCGGGCATTTCCATCTTTCAACATGAGAACAATAGTTAATAAAATCATATTTCCCAATAACATCAATGTCAGTGTGCCAAATAAGTAAAGTAGGGCAAACTGTGTTCGTTTTCCTCTATTAATTTAAGGTTCACTGGGTTTTAGTGTTAGGGAACAGAAATTACAACTCAAAAACTTGCTGTGAATTTTGGGAATACATACGGACTGCTTACTAATGTGCATAACACCAAGCTGCACACAGACAAGCAAAAATGAGGATGGATAGTATCTGTGGAGCTTGTATTCGGTTAAGAAATTTCTGGCATGTATACACATGGACATTGCTATGCAAAGCCGAGAAAAGGGTAACTTTAGAGATGTACAAAGTGCTGAGGATATTCAGTGGGGTAGAGCAAGTTGGGGAATGGAATAGTCAAGAGAGGCTACTCCAGTAGGAGTGCTTTTGTAATACACATTTTCCACAAACTATTTGAAGCCTTCTCATATCTAGTAAGGAGCAGACCTAGAATTTGAACCAGTGTTGATTCCCAAGCTTTTGTACTTAACCTTTATATTATAATTTCTAGTGGTAAGAGAGTATGAACACAATAGTTGCTTTTGGTACTATTCCTGATTATACTGGGTCATCCAAAAAAGAACTTATCTATAGGTGATATAAATTATTTGTAAAAGAAATTTAAAGGCAAATGGAATTTTCTTTTTAACATCAATATAAACATTCATCCTATGAATCATGGAACATTCCTTTTTTTTTTTTTAAAGATTTATTTATTTATTTGAAAGAGCTACACAGAGAGAGGAGAGGAAGAGAGAGGTCCTCCATCCTCTGGTTTACTCCCCAGTTGGCCACATCGGCCAGAGCTGCACTGATCCAAAGCCAGAAGCCAGAAGCTTCTTCCAGGTCTCCCATGTAGGTGCAGGAGCCCAATCCTTTGATCTATCTTCCACTGCTTTCCCAGGCCGTAACAGAGAGCTGGATCGGAAGTGGAACAGCCGGATCTCGAACTGGTGTCCATATGGGATGCCGACAGTGCAGGCAGTGGCTTTACTCACTATGGCCCCTGATCATTCCTTTTTTAATTAATTAAATTTTTATTTTCTGGCCATCCTGCTCTGAATTCAGTGATTACTCTGTCAG